GAGTCTTTTAAGGGAAGACCCGGGACCTTTTTATACACACAGGACAATGTGTGTTTTTTTTTTTTTTTTTTTTTTTTTTTTTTTTGCCCAAACAGGGGGCCCGAAACCTGGACCCTCAGATTAAGAGCCTGACGCTTTACCGACTGAGCTACCCCAACCTATCGTCGCATCGAACCAAGAACTATCCGCACGCCGATTTATATTGTCTTTCAAACTTTTCTGATGAAAAGGAGAAATAAAAATATGTCCGATGAATTTTGAGATTATTGCGCGTCGCGGAACGTATATAGAAATTCGAGTTTATTCAGCGAATAAGCTAATCTCGAACCGCTTCCGCAACAAACATGCGTGCGGCTCATCCCAGCAATTAGCGCCGCTGCCATTAATTAGTTAATGACTGTGATGCAAGTCTCGATTCGTTTATCGCAGGGTTCGAAGTTCAGTCGGAAGTTGGGGTTGAAATAACAGGGCGTGCCGTGATTCGCGGTTTATCGTCGATACGTCGAAGCAGTTCCCCTTTTTCTCTGGAATTACAGTTTCTTTCGCGCGTTTCACAAACTGAAACAGAGGATGAATCGTTCAAATAAAATTTCAACTTCAGACAAATATGTAATTCTGGCAATACTCTTTCTTTCTTCAATGATTCTCTTTTTCTTTTTCTGATTAATCGTTCTATATTTATTTTCAGATGTTGCTGTGGAAAAAAAAACACACACACACGTGAAAACAAGTATAGTGAAATTCAGAAGAAATGGCGGGAAAATTCGCGAGCCATTCGAGGGACTCGAATAATCGTTGACGATAAACGACGAATTATCGTCGAGCGAGGAAACGCTCGCACGTTTCGACAAAGTCGGGGAGGAAAGACCGAGCGCGACACCGAAAGTCGATCAGAGAGTACGTACGTACGTCGGTTGATCGGGTGCGGTTAATGGAAACTCGGCCTAAAGGTTTCTCTCGTAGCACTCAGCCACCCGCCGCGATCTTTCTCCGTCTTTACGACTCGTACTTCCTGTTTCTCGATCGATGGAAGTGGACCGTTTTCGAGGGAACAGCACTCTCGCTTCTCCCTTTGGTCTTGAGAAATGTCCTTCTTTTCATTTGAGATTAACGTCTCGACGAATGGGGTAGTCGCTCCTCACTCGAGGCTTAGCTTCAGCAAGTTAAAAAGCGACACTTTCTTTTTTTTTTTTACGACACGAGAGAAAGAGAGAGAGAGAGAGCACGATGTCTGGAGCACGAATCAGTCGCGTGAAATGCAATTGAGGAGAGTGGAAAGAGAATAAGAAAAAAAAAAAAAAAAAAAAAAAATGGGGTACGGTCGATTTTATCGACCGCGAATAAGAGGTAGGAATCTTTAGATTTAGTAGCTTGTGCGATAAGCCGCGGCTTGAGCTTCGATAAAGAAACTACCCTTCCAGACTTCCTCCCTCGTTTATTAGGAATTACCGACGTGATTTGCAGCCGCCTCGGTAAACCAACGCTTTGTTGTTACCGAGCGCACTCTGCCAGATGATTCCTCTGTCTCTCCTCTCGAGATCGCCTCTCCCCTCTGTCAGATCGTTTAATGTAAAAATTACGTTAATTTGCGAAACAAAATCAGACGTTTCGTAGCATCTTGCAAAGTATAATAGTAAGAGAGAGTATAATAATCTTGTTATATACGCGTATCCGATTTTATTCGACCGGGAGATTTCAGAGCAGAGTTTTTTCGTCCCCCCGAAGCACAAAGGCGAGAAATCGAAACGTTTTCAAAGGAATTTTTTTTCTTTTTAACGATTCCTCACTCGTTGCAGATCCCTCTCCCGCCGGGATTCGCCGTGAAAAGGAGATCCAATCTCACTCGGGAGTGGGCAGCTTTGATCGCGGGAATGGCGGTTCCTTCGCGATCGATTCGCGATCGTTTCTCTCTTCTCCTCGCTTGGACTGAAACTCCGACTCGTTACCGGATAATTACTACGTCGCCTCGATTCCGCGTTCCTCGTTTATTTCGCTACTCCTCGGTTTTTCGTTGCGGAGTTTCGACGTGTCGGACGGCGTCGTGGCATCGAGGTGCCAAGGGAGACAAGACAACCCCCAAGACAGGGCCACTCTCTCATTCCTTTGATTGCCTCCGGTTAATTATCAGTTCGCGC